GCCTTGCTGCAGGCCTTTGACACCCTGTGCTGGATGGTGAGTTCCAGTAGGCGATGATTGCTATTGCCCAGGTGGTCAAGAACCTGTAGTCCCCTCACCAGGTTGACGCCCGCGGCCAGGACCAGATCCAACAAGGTATTTCCGTTGGTGGGACTGCACCTCCTGGGTTAGATGGAGGTCCTGTAACTCGGCTACGTGAGCGGACCTGGCTGACTGCTCATCCCAGCAGATGTCCGGATTGTTTAGGTCACTCATGATGACCATGTTCCTTGACTTAACTGCCTCCGCGAGCTGACCTGAGAATTCCCGGTCCCACTCTTCCCCCTGGTTGGGTGGCCTGTAGTAGACTCCCACCATTAAGTCCCTTTCTCCCCGCTCCCTTGTATTCTGACCCAGAGCACTTCAGCCTGCCCCTCCTCTGACCCAGTGCTGTTTGCTGAGGTTGTGTATTGCTCTTTGATGCAGAGTGCCACACCCCCCCCCTTTCCTCCCTGTTCTATCCCTCCTGTACAGCCTATAGTCCTCGATGTTTACTGCCCAGTTGTGCATTGAATCCCACCAAGTTTCAGTGAGCCCCACTATGTCTGGGTTTGTGTTAGCTAGCAGGAGGGCAAGTTCCTCCTACTTGTTCCCCATACTACGAGCATTAGTGTAGAGGCATTTGAGGACTCCTGAGGGTGTATGCACTGCCCCCCTAATCCCAGGACTATCCTGGACCCCAGTCTCTTACCTGGGTACTTCTTGTGCTCGTTGCCTACCTTGGTCGGGCTGTTCTTGTGGGTGTCACTTGGTTTGGTGTTCTGTGGCTCCCTCCGTCCTCATCCTCCCTTTCCCCCGATGAACCTAGTTTAAAGCCCGCTGGAGGAGATCAGCCAACCTGAAAGAGAACACATGCTTACTTTTGGGGGAAAGGTGAAGCCCATCCCACCCGAGCATGTCTCTTGTTCTGAAGTATGGGTTGTGGTCCAAAAAGCCAAAGCCTGCCTCGAGACACCATTTCTGAAGCCGCAAGTTGACTTCCCTTATGCAGGTCTCATGGCGTTGTCCATGTTTGCTCACTGGAAGGCCAGATGAGAAGACCACCTGTGCCCCTGTCTCCTTCAGCTTGCCCGCTCCCCCCCCCAGAGCTTGGTAGTCCATCAGGCAATCTGGACTGCTCCTGGCTGCATCATTCGTGCCCACGTGGATTAGGACCGTGGGGTTAGTAATCAGTGGGCCAGATAATGGCCGGGATCATCTCCGTCACATCCTGAATCCATGCTTCGGGCATACAGGAGACCTCGTGTGTCATGGGATCCTGGTGACAGATAGGACCCTCTGTTCCTCTGAGGATGGAGTCGCTTATGACGAGCATCTGGCATCTCTTCTTCTGGGTCAACTTGCCTCCTGCAGCCTGTTCTGTGTGTAGAGTGGCCTCCTCTCTCCAGAGGTTTCCTTGTCTCCTTCCTCCTCCTCCAATGTCACCAGGGCCTCATACCTGTTCCCCAGCTGGACTGGGGGAGCTGATACTGCACCGCCATAAGCAGCCCTGGCTCTGGAGGGAACCTTCTGCCATTCAGCTGTGGAGGGCACCTCCTTGGGTTTTTCTCCCCTTGGTGCTTGGCCCTGCAGGGAAAGGAAATACCCATCAATTTCATCCTCTGCTTCTCTGATCCCCCTCAGCCTGCTAACATCCTCCTCGAGCTCCCTCACCTGCCCCTCCAAGGCCCTAAGACAGGCACCTATCACTTGTAGGCAGCTATCAAGTCACCTCTCAGCCTTCTCTTACTCAGACTGAACAGACCCAGTTCCCAGAGTCTGTCCTCATAGGCCCTGCACTCCATGCCCTTAACCATACGGGTAGCCTTTCTTTGTACCCTCTTGAGCTTATTCACATCCTTCTTGAAATGTGGTGCCCAGAACTGGACGCAGTACTCCAGGTGAGGCCTCACCAATGCTGAGTAGAGAGGGAGAAGCACCTCCCTGGATCTATTGGCCACACATCGGCTGGTGCATGCCAGAGTTCTGTTTGCCCTTCTGGCAACCTCATCGCACTGATGGCTTGTATTCATCTTCTGGTCAGTCGTGACCCCCAGGTCAAGTTCAAATGGTGTGCCAGCCAGTGGACTGCCACCTATCGTGTAGTTCTTCCTACCCAGGTGAAGGACCTTGCACTTCTCCTTGTTCAACCTCATCTGATTTCATTCCACCCATGAGTCCAGTCTGTCAAGGTCATCCTGAATCTATGCCCTATTCTCTGGTGTGCCCACATTTCCTCACAACTTGGTATCCTCTGCAAATTTAATTATTGAGCTTTCCACTAGGGGTGTGCGAAACAGGCTGTTTTGGATTTGGATTCAGTCTTAATCGGGGACAGTGATTCGATTCATTGATTTGGATCACTGTCCTGATTCTTTAGATTCAGACTCTGCTGAATTGAATTGATGCCAATTTGGAGAATCAGCTTTAAATGTTTTGTCCACATACCTTGAGGTACCAGGTGCAGCTCATGAGCTCTGCGATGGTGGGGTGGATGGGGGGGCCCCCTACTTGCTCAGCAGTGGACTTGGAAGTAGACCACAAGTACTTCTGGTCCATTTCTGGGTTTGCCATTGGTCGCACAGGGGACCCCCCCATTCTCCCCCAGCTCAGCGATTGGCCCCGGGGGGACCCTGGGTGCCCCCCCAGACCCAGGAGGCTCTAGTCATGGGGGCCCCTTGTGCGCTTGGTGGCAGATGCAGAAGTGGACTTGAAGTACTTCCAGTCCACTTCCGGGTTCGGTGCCGAGCACATGCCCCACCCCCACTACTGTGGGATGCTCCATCTGCCCCAGCATCTCAGAGTTCACGTGCTGCACCTGGTACCTAGAGGTATGTAGACAAACATTTAAAGCTGTGTTTGTGTCTGAATCATTGAATCTTTCCTAATTGATTCGGAGGGTTCTGATTCATTTGGAGAGATTAAAGGGTCTCCTGATTTGATTCGGATTTGAATTGAATTGAATCAGTGACTGAAGCTTCGCACAGCCCTACTTTCCACCCCCTCATCCAAGTTATTAATAAATCTATTAAGGAGCGTGGGTCCAAGCACTGGTCCCTGGAGGACACCACTGGAGATGGGCCTCCAGGATGAGGCTATCCCATTGATTACAACTCTGCCAGTGGCCTCCTAAGCCAGTTGTCCACCCACGGTGCTGTAGACTGGTCCAGCCCAGTACCCTCCTGTTTGATTGAGAGAATCTCGTGGGAAACAGAATCAAAGGCTTTAGTGAAATCTAAGTAAATTCATCAGCCTTATGTCCCTTGTCTAGATGGCTAGTTACCTGGTCGTAGGAGGACATTAGGTTAGTTATGCATGATCTACTCTTGACAAAACCATGCTGGTTGCTTCTTAACACCCCTTCAGTTACCAGCTTGTGATTGATGGCCTCATTTAACACATTTTTCAAAGATATTTTATCCAGGACCGAAGTCAGGCTGACCAGACAGTAGTTTGCCATGTCATCCCTCTTCCCTTTCTTAAAGGTGGGCACAATGGCCCTCTTCCAGTCATGTAGAACCATTCCTGAGTTCCACGATTCTTCAGACAGCTTGGCCAGCGGTGCTGCTATACACTCAGCCAGTTCTTTCAGGACTCTCGTGTGCAGGTCATCTGGCCTGGTAGATTTGAAAGCGTCCACGTGTTGTAGGAGATCCCTCACTTGTTCAGGACTGATTTAATGTAATCTGTTGTCTTCCCTATGTTCCCTGGGCCTCTGGGAAAAAACAGAAATATAAACTGCCGAGAAAATTCAAATGGTGCCTAAATTCAGTGTGAAATTTTACGGTAACAGCCCACATAATTTAGCAGAGAACTAGGAATTTTTGCCCCTTCTATGAAGAAAACTCTAACTCTAGACAGGCTAATTGTTCATAATTGTCTATCATATTTAACAGGGCAGGTTTAGCTGGTAGATGGTTTCACCCCACTGGAACTAGACAGAGAATGTTAACCCTGAATTCTTTCTTTCCTCAGGGCTAGTTTATTATCCTCAAGACAATTGGAAACACAAAAAGAAAATTGACTCATAAAGCACTTGGCAATAGTTGTTTAGGGCTTCCCATGCTCCAGCTAATCAGAAAGGGAGAAAATGTTTTGATAGTTGCTTAAATGCAGAGTCCCCTTCTTTTGAAACTCTGAATAGCTAAGTGACCTAGAGAGTTGTTATTTTTTTAAAGGATGCTTTGTCTTTATTTTGTCACAGGTGGCTTAAAAATTCTGTAGAAGGTAATTCACATTCTTGGTAAAATTCCATAGGTACTTAGACAGACGAGGTTCATCGCATAAATGTGTTATCATTTATTAGACCAACTAAATGGTTGAAAAAACTGTTCTTTGTAAGCGTTCGGGTGGAAACACTATTCTTCAGGCATAGGGAGAGTCTACTCGTATTGTGTGCTCTTCTGGGTGAAATTCCACCCAGGAGAGCACACAAATACTTGCAGAGAAGAAATGTTAATGGGCTTCTGCTGCTCTAGGCTCTGTGGACAGCAGAGCTCTCCCTCCTGTGCTGTGCTGTGCTGTCCTGATTCTTTCTCGCAACCTGCTGGGACTTCTCTCCCTGTCCAGGTGGAACCAGGAGTGCTACCTTTGGGCCATACCTGTGAAGAACTTGAAAACTTCCCTTTGAAAAATGCATTAGCAGACCAAGAGGGTAGACAGCAACGAGAGCAGTTGGTGAGTTGATGTGCCTATCTGGGATTTTCCGCTGGGACTTTAAAGAAGCTTGTTTTAGGGTAACTGGGTAGAGCATTCCTCTTTTATCTCTCATTGCATCCATGACCTTTGGGGTGATGTTTCTAGGTTCAGCTGGTCTGCAGAGATGGGAGGGGCTGGAGAACTGGCTTATGTAAAAAAAAAAAAAAAAAAAAAAAAAAAAAAAAAAAAACAGTTGAGAAAAGAACAGCTGAGGTATAGGACCTGGTGGTTCCCCCTTTGAAATGATTCCCTATGCATGTTAAAGTGCCCTAAGGTGTTTTGCCCGCTGCTTGCTTGAATGACATGTACTAGATGCACCACTGGCAGCTCAACACCTTGGCAAAAACTAAAAGGGAACCCAAGTGAACCTGCTGTTTCCTGGACAGAGCTTATCCTCTTGTCAACCTGAGATATGTATGTCCTGTCATGAACTTGTCTCAACAATCATCTCACTTGCCCCTTCTGAACTATCTCAGTAAAGTAGGCTTGCTCATAGTATTATTCAAGTTTACAGTCTGATAAAATGTAGCAGGAGAACTAAAATAGGTAGCAAGCAGCTAGAGACAGCATCTCTCTCCTGACTGCTAGGTAACTATCTGGATTTGACGCCTCGCTGAGTTAGTGGGTTTTTTCAGTTAAAGTAAAATAATTTGTACAGACCTTTTTTCAACAACAAAGCACTCGGAACACCCTAGTGGTGCTGAATGCTGTATTATGCCCTGCCTTCCTTGAGCATGATGGAAGTTAGGCCAGTGTTTGCCATAGTGGGCCATACTTGCAGCTCTCAATGTGTTATGTGGGTTGCCCCCGCACAATTTACTTCCTGTGTATCCATTTAAAAAATGTTTTAACAGGATGTCACGTGGGCTGCAGTTGTGTGGTGATTGGGATTGAGAACCACTGAGTTAGACGGTACAGTGCAAGTGTGAAACCAGTGAGCTGTGTCCAGATTTGAAAAGGTGGGAAGAAGAAAGGGACCCATAAAAGAGTTTTATGGCTTGGGTATTTCGTGTTCCCTTCTTAAAAACGCTCCTTCACTTTTTTCCAAGTACTTTTCACAGAGAGATTTTTCTCAGAGAAAAGAGAAATATCTTGTGTGATTAGGGAACCTGGTTTTGAATTTCATAGGTCCCCTGAGAAAATCTAGGTTGCTGGTTTGTATTTGACCTAGTATTTCTCTGTGGCCTCCTTTGTTTTTCTTATGTAGGAATTTGAACTCAGGAAAAAGCGTAAAAAATGTGAAAATCTTGAACATGAAGTGAGGAAAAAGCACAAAAGATGCAAAGAACTGGTAAGTATGCTTGCTGCCTACAGAACAGGGGCAACAAACGGGAGTTTGCAGGCAGTTCACAGGTTACTTTACCGCCTTCCTCTTTGAAAGGGAACCTTTAAGGTAAGCTCTTTCTTCATTTAAGAGTAGCTAACCTATGTGTATTTAGTGTAAGTAGCTCAAATTCACCTGTTAAGTCTTGGTCTCAGTCCCTTGTTTAGCTAGAGTCTAGAGTGAGAGGGAGTTTGCTAGGGACTTTGCCTGGAAACTCTCTCTAACCTTCCTTCATTGCAAGCTTTATCAGGGAAAAGGGAACCTTTCAGGACCATGGAGCATCAAACAGGCAAGCTTATAGTGAAGTTTGCTAGGGAAGGTCTGCTTGGAAAGAGGGGCAGGAAGAGAGAGGCCACAGATTAAGAGACCCAGATAAATGATTGGAGGACGTCGCAATGCCAGAGCCACTGCTACTGCCAGCGTTTCCTCTGCTTGCGACTGTGAGGTGTCTGTCCAGGCAGGACCGCTCGCCATTGAGGCGTCCACCAAGGTCCTGGTTTGGTGCTCTGGAGACCGTGGCTTGCAGGTTCATTCTAGTGAGAGCCAGGTGGGGGAGTGCCTGTGATGCGAGTGGTGCTTCCTGGTGGTGTCCCTCAGGGAGCTGGCAGGAGTGCTGCAGGACGAGGTGACAAGGCTTCAAAGCATTCTTGACAATGAGGACTTCATTTACTGGATCTTGGAGGAAACCTCCAGGACTGTCGAGGAAGGACTGCCACAGGCAGTGCTAGTGGAAAAAAGTGTATGTGGATGCCCAGGAAATTGGAAGCTTGTGACCTCTGGCAGCAAGCAGAAATCTTTATCTCCACCTGCAGTGGTTTGTCTGGAGAACAGATATGGAGCCCTAGCAACAGAGGAGGAGAAGCATATTTCTGCTGGTGAAAGAGACCAGGCCTGTCATCTCCAGGATGGGGAGGATTGAGGCCATTCCCACCAAGAGGAAGCAATAGGTGGTGGTGTTTAGAGACTCTTATCTGTGGGGGGCAGAGGCATCCACCTGCCACCCTGATTTTTTTTGTTTTGTTTTGTTTTGTTTTGGGAGGCCTGCTGCTTGCCCAAACCTAGATCTGAGGTGTCACAGGAGGATTACCGAAACTCATTCATCCCTCAGAGTACTACCCCATGCTGTGCATCCCTGTGGGCACCAATGATACTGCCAGGGGTGACCCTGAGCAGATCAAAAGTGACTACAGGGCTTTGGGAGCTATGGTAAAGGAGACGGGCTCAGGTGGTGGTCTTGATTCTTCTTCGCAAGAAGAAGGGCCCAGACGCATCCTGCAGATCAATGCATGACTGTGCAGGTGGTGTTGCCAGCAGGGCTTTGTTGACCACAGGATGTTGTTCCAAGAAGGACTGCTAGGAAGAGACAGGAATCAGCTGAAAAAGAGATGGAAGAGCATCTTTCCAGACAGCCTTGCTAACCTAGTGAGGTGAGCTTTAAATTAGGTTTGCCTGGGGATCGAGACCAAGACCCTGAGGTAAGTGGGGAAGCAGGTGATCTGGAGGTAGCACAAGCAGAAGGGGGCCACAGGGGAGGCCTTCTCATTCTTCCTGAGAACATGGGGCAATTGACTAGTTCCCTCAGGTGCCTGTACACAAATGCACAGAGCCTGGGAAACTAACAGGAAGAACTGGAAGTCCTTGCGCAGTCACAGAACTATGATGTAATTGGAATAACAGAGACTTGGTGGGAGCTCGCATGACTGGAGCTCTCTTGTGGGTCGGTACAAACCGTTTAGAAAGGACGGGCAGGGGAGAAGAGGAGGAGGAGTTCTGCTTTATGTAAAAGAGCTGTTTCATACTGGAGCTCAGAGAAATCAAACTGGAGATAGGCCTGTTGAAAATCTGTGGCTTAGGGTCAGAGAGGAGAACAACAAGGGTGATGTCATGGTAGGGGTCTGCTATACACCACCAGACCAGGACGAAGTAGTGGATGAGGCTTTCTTTAAACAGCTAGCAGAAGTTTCCCAGTCCCAGACCCTGGTTCTCATGAGGGACTTCAGTCACCCTAACATCTGCTGGGAGGGCAATACAGCAGTGCGCAGACAATCCAGGAAATTTTTGGAGCATGTTGGGGGACAACTTCCTAGTGCAAGTGCTGGAGCAGCCAATAAGTGGCTGTGCTTTTCTTGACCTGCTGCTCACAAACAGGGAAGAATTGGTGAGGAATGTAGTTGTGGATGGCCATGTGGGCAGCTGTGATGATGAGATGATTGAGTTCAGAATCCTGAGGAAAGCAAGGAAGGAAAGCAGCAGAGTTAAGGACTGGATGGCAGAAAAGCAGACTTTGACTTACTCGGGGAATTGATAAGGAGGCTCCCCTGGGAGGCCAGTCTAAAGAGGAGAGAAGTCTAGAAAACCAGGTTGTACTTTAAGGGAACTTTACTAAGAGTGCAGGAACTAATCATCTGAATGCTTGGGAAGACTAGCAAGTATGGCAGAAGACCAGCTTGGCTTAGCAGGGAACTCTTCATTGAGCTTAAACAGAAAAAGGAAGCTTACAAGAAGTGGAAACTTGGACAAATGACTAGGGAGGAGTATGAGAGCATTGCGCCAGGATGCAGGGATGAAATCAGGAAGGCCAAAGCACAACTGGGGTTGTAGCAGGCAAAGGACATGAAGGATGACAAGAAGGGTTTCTACAAGTATGTCAGCAGCAAGAGGAAGATAAGGGAAAGTGTGTGTCTCTTCGTGAATGGGTTGGGGGGAGGGCAACCTAGTGACAGGTGATGCAGAAAAGGCTGAAATACTCATTGCCTTTTTTACCTCAGTCTTCACAGGTAAAGTCATTTCCCAGACTACTGCACCTGGCAGCAAAGTTTGGGAAGAAGGTGAGCAGTCAACAGTGGTGAAAGAACAGGTTAGAGACTATTTAGGAAAGCCAGCCGTATACAAGCTCAGGGGGCTAGATGAGATGCATCTGAGGGTGCTGAGGGAATCGGCTGATGTGATTGCAGAGCCACTGGCCAGTGTTTTTGAAAACTCGTGGCTGTCAGAATTGATCCGAGATGACTGGAAAAGGGCAAATTACAGCCTCTCAGGAGTTACAGCCTCAACTCAGTTCCTGGAAAAACCATGGAGCAGGTCCTCAAGGAGTCCATTTCTAAGCACCTGGAGGAGAAGGAGGTGATTAGGAACAGTCAGCATGGATTCACCAAGGGGAAGTCATGCCTGACCAACCTGACTGCTTTCTGTGATGAGATGACTGGCTCTGTGGATACGGGAAGAGCAGTGAACGTGATATGCCTTGACTTCAGCAAAGCTTATGATACAGTCTCCTCCAACATTCTTGTAAGCAAGCTAAGGGAGTATGGGTTGAATGGGCTGTAATGTGGATAGAAAAGTAGCTCAAACATTGGTCTCGCAGGGTAGTAATCAATGGCTTGCTGGCTTGCTGGAAGCCAGTATCAAGTGGAGTGCGCCAGGGGTCAGTCCTGGGGCTGGTTTTGTTCCATAGCTTCATCAGTGACCTGGAAGATGGGATGGAGTACATCTTCAGCAAGTTTGCAAATAGCACCAAGCTGGGGGAGAGTAATGATATGCTGGAGGTCAGGGGTAGGATTCAGAGAGTTCTTGACAATTTGGCATACTGGACAAAAATCTCAGGAGGTTCAATAAGGAGAAGTGCAAAGTCCTGCACTTATGCAACATGGAGAAGTGCAAAGTCATGCAGAGCCACTGGCCATTGTACAGGCAGGGGGATGACTGGCTAAGCAGCAGTTCTGCAGGAAAGGACCTGAGGGTTACAGTAGACAGTAAGCTGAATATGAGCCAACAGTGTTCCCTTGTTGTGAAGAAAGCTAACGACACACTGGGCTGCATTAGTAGGAGCATCGCTAGCAGATCGTGGGAAGTGATTCTTTCCCTCTGTTTGGCACTAGTGAGGTCACATCTGGAGTACTGTGTGCTGATTTGAGACCCTCAGTACAGAATGGATGTGGATATACTGGACAGAGTCCAGCAGAGGGAAATGAAAATAGATAAGGGGCTGGGGCACATGACTTCTGAGGAGAGGCTGAGGGATCTGCGCTTATTTAGAGGGAATTTAATAGGAGCCTTCAGTTACCTGAAGGGTGGTTCCAAAGAAGATGGAGCTGGACTGTTCTCAGTGGTGGTAGATGACAGAACAAAGAGAAATGGTCTCAAGTTGCACCACAGGAAGTTTAGTTTTGATATTAAGAAAAACTTTCTCATTAGGAGGGTAGTAAAGCAGTGGAACAGGTTACCCAGAGAGGTTGTGGAATCACCATCCTTGGAGGTTTTTTAAGACCCAGCTGGACAAAGCCTTTGCAGGATGATCTAGCTGGGGATGGTTCTGCTTTGAGCAGGGGTTTGAACTAGATGACCTTGTGAGGTGCCTTCCAACCATAATTTTCTATGATTCCTTGATGTCAGAGGTGTTCATTCTCTGCTCCACTCTAGTCTGGGGGTAGGCAAGTGGGGCCAGTAGCAAATGTCCAGTGTCATTTTCCCTTTGGTTTCTTTTCCTTAAAGGAGGTCCTGGCCCCATTGAGATTAATTAAAGTGTTGCCACTGGCTTCAGTCGAATCCAGATTTCAGCCTGTGTGTCTTGTGCTTTGCTGAGTGCACTGTCAGAACTTAGCATATTATAATATAATAGTAATAGCAGGACCAAACTGTGTGATCCTGTTCTTTGAATGGTGCTGCATCGAATAAGCCTGAAAGTGTGTCTGTCCAGACGCATGCAGTTCCTTTAGTCAGCCCTGAGCTGACCTTTTCTCTCCAGTCTGGGAAGATCAGGGAGCTGTTTCCAGTTAATCAGAGAACCTGACTGTAGTAATACTTGTTCTCTCTGGACAGGAACTCCAGTTGGAGGAGGTGCAAAGTGAAAATGTACGACTGGCTGAGCAGAACTCTCGACTTAATGAGAAGGCTGAATGGGCAGGACAGGTAGTCAGTGAAGATTTTTTCCTCTAAATGGAGTATTAACTTTTCCTTTGTGTTGAACTTGCAAAGCATTTGTATTAAGCAGAGGTTATTACTAGACTAGGATAAAACTATGGCCTGGATTCCCCACATTGGGGTATGTCCACGGGTTTTACTTGTCACAGAGGTGGTGAAGGCCCTGACAAGACAGAGTCCACTGTGGGGAGGTTACAGTGAAGAGAGGTGGCCTTAAGATGCTTCTCAATGGGGAAATGTGAGATGGGTTTACTGTTACCCCTGAAAGAGAGTGCTGGCCCCAGGAGAGCATAGTCAAGAAAGCAAGGCAGTGGCCCAAGTGCTAGTTAAACCTGCCTTGCATAGTAAAGGTCTTGAAGCAGAGAAGCAGATAGCCACCTGCACCCATCAGGGTGAATCCTCCCTAAAGTGCCCACTGAGACAGCTATCATTCCATGTTTGTAGAGTACCCATTAAGGTATTACATCCCAGTAGTCAGTTGCATTATAGTCACAAGACAAGTAGTCCCAGATTCACAGAGTAACATGGAAAACAGACAGGAAAGACTTGTCCATATGGACTGCAGCTATTTGCTGTGCAGAACAGTACAGTAATAATAAAATGCACCTTGAAGTGTATAAAAATATTGTAAATGTGCACAAGTGGGTGGGAACTGATGAAGAATTAGTACTGGGATTGGAGGAAAGGGGCAGATGCATTTCAAAGATGTCTTTTTTTCTTTAATTTGGCTCTGTCTCTTAGCATATGAAATGTAGATGAGCCAGAAAACCAAACCTGTTTTCAAAGTCTGGTCATTTCCTGCTGGTTAGCTCTTTCTGCATATTAATCAGGCCATTGTACAGCAAGGAGGTGTTTGTGATTTGAACTACTAATAATAACTTGGTGATGGCACATTCCCATTAGAGATGAAGGACTGGCCTCTTGCACAATCTCTAGTGAATAGAGTTGCATCAAGTTATAGTGGGGTTTTGCATGCTTCTCTGCCTCTAGTCCCACCCTTTCCAGATCACAGAGCACAGCTTCCAAGGTTTCTCAAGGGAAAATCCCCTTCAGAAAACTCCACATGTTGTGGGGGAGACAAATATAGTAAAAATTCAGTAGGTGAATCTGTTGAACAGATTAAAGCCCCATACAAATATATGAATATTTGGTTACGTTTGACTACCAGTTGGAGGGGAGAGAAGATGGGCTGATGGAAGACCACAGTGTAGCTGTGTAAAGTGGTGGACCTCTGCTATTGTTTCAAAGAGTGCCTGAGACTATTTGTATGAATCAGTAGCCTTTCCTTTTACAGGTTGAATCCGAGAATGCCGACCTGAAGCTGCAGGTAGTTTTAGTCACTAAGGAACGGGATTCTGCAATTCAGACGAGCCAAGGACTCCAAACCAAGCTGGAGAATTTAGAGCAGGTGCTGAAGGTCAGTAGGACCCAAGCTTCTGGAGGCGCAGAGAAGATGCCGAGTACTGTTCTGAATGGCCTTACAGAAAAGGGGATAATGGTAGCAAAAAGTCTGTTTTTTCTGATTTGTTTGGGTCATTTATATACAGTTTTGCTTTTTGTGGCCTTTGTTATCTAGAAAAACTTTTAGAAGAAGCTTTTTTAGCCTCTGCTGGGAGCATCTCATTTCATATCTCTGCACCTGGACAAGTGCCTTGTCCAGCAAGGCTGTCTGAGTTATGTTGGTATCATGGAGTTGGTTTTACAGATGAGGGTTGGCCAGTGCGCTGTGCGTTCTGGCCCCAAGCCTCTTGACCTGAGTTGCTGCTTGATGTCCTCTCTTTGTGAGGTGAGGAGGAGCAAGGGGGGAGAGGAATTTGGCAGTGTGAAGCTGTCTGAGGCAACTCTGACTCTTTGTATTGCTGGTGCAACTCAGAGCAAACTATGGTAGGCAGAGGACCTGCCTAATATGTTCTTGGAACTCCACTCCCATTAAGAAGTTTGCTTTCCCATTTGTTTAGTTACTGTGTGAAAAACAATTTGTTGCCTATCAGATTGTTGTTGGAGGATAGGGCCCCTTGGGAGAAATCCAGAAGGCAATGGTTTAATAACACCTCTCCTAAACTGTGTGTGACTTGTTTTCCAGCACATGAGAGATGTGGCAGAGCGAAGGCAGAAGCTGGAGGTTGAACATGAAGAAGCACTGCTAGTATTGCGGGAGAAACAAGAGGAAGTCAGGCGGCTGCAGCAGGTATGTAGTGAGTGAGAGAGAGTGAGAAAATGAACACTAACTCTGATTCCCTACAAACAGATGGGACTTCTGCATTGTGTTTCCTTGAAGGGACAGACTGCAGGGAGGAGGTATGTGCAGGTTCACCAGATACACTATTCAGGGAAGTGTCAGTGTGCAGAGCAGCCCTGATACCTGGTCAGTGCGAGTTGTTTTCATGCATGAAACTTCTAACTTAACAAGGCTTAGGTCAAGGATATTTCCAGTCAAGTTTCTCTATATAGGTTTTTAAATCTATAAGATGCTTATTAAGATAGTGGTAGCAGAAGTGAGACTTTGAAGGATGCTTTGTGACACACTCTTTGTCTCTTGTTTGACCCCAGGCCCAGGCTGAGGCAAAAAGGGAGCATGAAGGAGCAGTACAGCTATTAGAGGTAAGACAGAAAGACAGAGCCAGGGTGATATATGCAGGTTTAGCATCTCACATCCTTTAATATTGTCTTGCTCTGCATTTTGCATGCAACTTCATCAGCATGAGCAAAACAGCACCAGTGGCTGAACAGTCTCACAACAGTGGTGCACAGATTTCTGTCAGAAAGGCAAAGCAGCTGTTAAGTCCAGCCCAGCTCTTGGACTGGATATGGTATGGAATATTCATCACCTGAGTGTCTTTCAGTGCTGCAATAAACAACATAACTAATATCAGTCATGCCTGCTCCTCTTGTGTGAATCTCCTTTAGGAGGAAATCTCTGCATGTTTGTTTTAATTGTTTTTCTTTCATATTACATGCTCTGTGTTTTTATTGGGTAAGGTGCATTGGACAAACAGCTTTTATGTGAAACAGGGAGAGGTGAGGTATGAAGTAGCTCTTGGAACCAACAGGAGTTAGATCTCCAGTCCCCAGACCAGCTCCCAGGAATTGTAGAATCATAAAAAAATTAGGGTTGGAAGGGGCCTCACGAGGTCATCTAGTCCAACCCCTGATCAAAGCAGGACCATCCTCAACTAGACCATCACACAAAGGTTTTGTCCAGCCAGGTCTTAAAAGCCTCCAAGAGTGATGATTCTGCGACCTCTTCGGGTAACCTGTTCCACTGCTTTACTACCCACCCAGTGAGAGAGTTTTTCCTAATATCTAATATAAACTTCCCTTGCTGCAACTTGAGATCATTGCTCCTTGTTCTGTCATGTACCACCACTGAGAGCAGTCTGTCTTCATCTTTTTTCAACACCCCCACTTTCAGGTAGTTGACGGCTGCTATTAAATCCCCTCTGTCTTTTAATCTCTAGACTAATAGGCCCAGTTCCCTCAGCTTCTCCTCAGAAGTCATGTACACCAGCCCCCTCACCATTTTCATTGCCCTCCACTAGACTCTGTCCAGTGTGTCCACATCCTTTTTGTACTGGGGGCCCAAATCTGCACACAGTACTCCAGATGTGACCTCACTAGTGCTGAATAGAG